ACAGCACCAGCTCAGAGAGCTCCTGAAGGCCTCACCTCCCTCACCTGGGTGCATCTGGCAGCCTCAGGTGAAGCAGACTGAGGTGTTTTGGGCATGGGTGTAATGTCACACACAGCACACAACACTGGGTTGGAATTACTCATTTACTGCCTCCAGAAATGCTGCTTTCTGCCTCCTGTCCCTCTGCCAGGACCCAGCTCCTCCAGCCCTGGGGACCACACCACACAGTGCCTGGCCCAGCTCTGCTCAAACACAGTGGCCATTTCTGCTTTGCCCATTGTCATTTGTTGTGTCAGCAGGAGACAGGTGACCAGCAACCTGTTTTTCTTGAAAACAAAGCTTCCATCAAAATCAAGAAGGATCAGGACATTGGGAATTATCTCCTTGGCATCCTCCAAGTCAACTGAAGGGGATACACATGAAAAAAAAAGAGCATTTACTTATAAAAATACTAAGTTATTATTCCCCACAGGTTGCTACCTCAAAGATCTTGAGAAATATGTGAAATGGCATTCAGGATTAGTACAGACTTCAAAGCATTTATCCTCTCCAGGCAGCAGAGCTCTGAGCTGCACAGACAGTGCTACTCCAGGGACCTCTCAGAGCTTTGCAAAATATTAGTTTGGGAGGTGGGGCACAGGATAAAAAAAAATCAGATCCAGCTGGCTGTCATTAACGTCATGTACACATAATATATGCAAAAGGGAAGAGTACTTTTAAAGTTCCCCTGGAGTCTCTCACTTTAACAAGCTGTTTGAATTCCCTGCAGTTCAAAAGCTCAGAAACACTAAAACTAATTACAACTATTACATTGATCAAAAGAAAAAAAAGACAATCACATTCCAGAAAAAAATCAAGTGCCAGCTCCCTTGTATTAAATACACTTTTGGTATTTCCATGAAAAGAACTGCACAGACATCATGAAAAACAAAAGATGGTCTTCAAAGTCTCCCTTTTACTCTGTTCCTCTTAGGATTCTAAGCTCTAACATGTAAGCAACACCAAAACCAGATGCAGGAGTCAGAGGAAAAGCTTGTCAGGAGTGCAGTGGGAGAACGTGAGGTCAGGTTGCAAGTCATTGCTCCTCGTTACCTGGGAGAATATCAGCACTTGGGACATGTCACAGAAATGTCCCATTCAATGGAGAAAAGACCAGTGGCTTTGAGAATGATCAGCACTTAAGGAAAATGGGAAAAATACTTGGTGATCATGGCAAGGTTTAACGAGCAGCCACAAAAAGGCACCAGCTCCAGGTAGAGACACCACTGTGGTTTCTATCCCTCTAGTCAAGTGGAAAAAAAAGCAAGGACTCGTTTTTCTTAGTTGCCTCAGCCAACTCATTTCTCTCTTCTGTAACACAGAAAAGAGGAAATTATGTTAATTTTTTCTCCTCAAGGGCATCTTGAACATAAGACCTTTCTATTAGTGATCTAATATGCCACTAAGAGACATTACCAGCAAGTCTGGCCACAGGCACAGCACGGTGCCACACACTGTGGCTTGGGTGATCTCTTCACAAAAAGGAGTAGTGACCCTCTTTGAAGTGCAAGATACTGTTCTCAGGTAAAAAAAAAAATCACAGAGAGGTATTAATAGTGTTACTAGTAGAGAACTAAACTATTTTGATAAAAATGACACTAAAGTTCTCAGATGCATTGCTCAAGGAAGAACACTTTTCTGCAGAAACCATAAAGCAGATGGTTATAAATGAGACTTATTTCCTGGGCACCATTTAATGACTGCCAATTCCTTTAACTAAAAGTCTAATTTTATCAGTGCATAAATCATAGGCTTAGAAGGAAAAAATCTGTTTCAGATTTCTTATTCCTTCTATAAAGCTTCTTCATTAATAACATTCTAAATAGCATTTCATTAATGCAACACAACAGTTTTACTTGTCAAGGTTTGCTTTCAGCAGCTCACTGTAATATGAGCTGATTGAATGCAGAATACAAGGTCCTTTTGTGGTGCATCTGAAGTGCCTGATCAGTGTTATGTGGAAATCAATGTGGTATGTTTGCTCCAATATTGCTTTCCACCAGACATGTAGCTACTGAAAATCCATGTCTCCAAAAGACTAGCCAACCCAGTGCAGCACAGGAGAGCAGATATAGCATTATCAAGTATGGTTTCTAATCCTACCTGGATTAGGAGGGTCAAAAGCAAAAACAAAGACCAGAACTACAGTTGACCAGGTGCTGTTACACAGCTTCTCTCCCCAAAGCTGCCATGTTGCACATCCAACACCTGCCTGAACCTGGAGCAGTTTAACAATAGGTTTGTATCCAGCCCGTTCCTGCTCCTACAGAAAGAGAATGCCAGACTTTCAGAAGACAGTGTCTCGATGTCCTGCCAAGCCATAATAGCTGGTTTGTGTCATAGGCTCCTGATTAATGCTGAATCATGGGCCCACAGATGAGCAGAGCACTTCTAGAATGAAGAATCTGATTTCATTCAGAACATACCCGGGGGGGGAGTTCACCGTGCAGTATTAAACGCAGCTCCACAGGGGGAACACACAATACAGCACAGAGCTTGACAGTCCATGTGCTGCAAACTGATTTACTGACAATCATTAATGACTGATCCAAGCAGCAAAACCCCTTTCAGGTTGTTTGGTATCAGTGTAAATAAAACCTTTTACCACCCCTGTATAAAAACAGATCTACATTTGTCCCATATACCTACAAAGGACATATTTTGCCCTATAAAACACAGCAATGCTCTCTTCTGCCTGCAAATCCCTGCTGCAGGGAGGGGCAGCTACAGGAGCTTCTGCTGCTGAAGCATGAGGCCCCTCATCTCAACTCTGCTGGAAAAGGGGGCATCACACTGTTTGCAGGGAGCCCACAGCACCTTCCTGCCTTAAGCTCCATTTCCAACAGAATACTTTGTGGTCAAAGGTTTTCTTCCTCAAATACTAATTTTTACTTAAGCCTCCACTGAATTAATGTGGGGGTTTTGTACTCTTGGATAATGGAAGGCTTGCCTTCAACTCTCCTCTGGTTGAACAAACTCAAGTTTACCTGCCAGCCCTTTGCAGGGTCTTGGTGTGCACCCTTCAGGGTGCTGCTCCTGAATGGCTTCAACAAGGGAAGCTCAGGAAACACAAAAGAACAAGCACTACACTAAGAATGCCAATTTCTCTGAGAAGATCAGTTGAGCTCAGCTTTTTTACACCAATGCTGACCAGCAGCTGATCATTTTCACTTCTTAGAGCTGAACTAAACAGGGTAGGAAGGCTGGGCAAGGAAGGACTATGTGCATGTTCCTATTAGATTTCTAACTCCAGGCAGGACCAATGCACAGCAGGGCTTATTTCTCATTTGGAACATAATTACCTTTGAAGCCAAAAAAGTTGCTGTACCAAACTATGTTGACTTGTCATGCAGAAAACTAATTCCCAGACCTCAATGGCAAATAGGAAACAGGACTCTTTCCTGATCTTTCTCTAACAGTTGCTCTTCCTTTTGTCCCTTCACATCCACATGTGGCCACATGCAAGTTCCTGCCTTCTAATATGAAGAGAAAAGTGAGCACGTTTTGCATGGTTAGTAATTAAGCAGTCACAATCAGGCTTGAAATTAGGAAAGACAAGTTCCTGTCTGCTATTTCTTCTTAGTTTTCCTTT